ACAGTACTTGCATGAGATTCACTACCTAAAATTTTCAATCCAGCTTCAGCCTGGATTAAAAAGATGCAAGGAATTAAGGCAGAATGAGAACACACGAGCTTTTCGAGACAGATCGCCACGTAGCCCCATCTAAATAAAGATGGGATTAGAAAGGTCCAACTATGACGTCAATACTATGACCTACAAAGAATTATAAAGAGTTAACTACACGTACTACAGTTAGTTTCACTGAGCAACTACTCTGTGTCAGGGGGGTGTGAGTGTGTATTCTGTTTACGGTGGTTATTTATGAGATTGATGCCACCGAAACAAACTGAAATAGGGCCTTAATCCGTGATTCTTGTAAGACGCAACAAAGAGAATTTCTCCTAAGCAAAGAAACACATGCAAGACACTGATCTTTTGAACTTCCAATACTTACTTCTGGTCTATGTTTACCATTTTTATACAGAGAGAACACTATTGCTTAATTATTAGCCATAATGAAAATTAAATCCATTTTCTCCATTGGAAATTATGATACTGAAGCACTGTAATAAGATGACAGACAAGCAACCAACAACATATAATTAGTTGATCTACTACTTCCTCTTGATTGTCAAGGCTTATTATAAATAACACACAGACACTACACCTTCCTGCCCGAGGCTTAAGGCATGCTTCATTTTAATGGTATCTAGACAGCTAAAGAATACAGCTACCATTAAAGGAATCTTCAATGGCACCAGCATACCTCAAGTAATAGAACTAGCTGGTTAATTCTTGCCAGTGCTTATGCCTGCATTTAATTTGTTAGTTACAGTAAAATTAATGAGTTAACAGGTATTAAGAGTGTTTCTAGTATTGGGAACCAACTACTGAGGAGAAACAGAACCTCTTGACCAAATTCCTTTTCCTGTTAGCTTAAATCTGGCCACATCCCAAACTGTTTTGTGAGTTATATAATTTACACTCAGCCACTCAAGATGTTCCTGTACCCTACACACAAACTCTTCCACAAGGGGAATTTACACTACTGTCTCTGACAGCGGCACACATTTTAGAGCGAGCACAACGCAAACCGAAGTCACAACGGAAGGCAATCACACTCATTTACTAATGTAACCAAAAACTCCACACAGTCTTTTCGCTTTTAGGTATAATGAATTGCAAAACTTAAGATTCATATGATTGCTTCACCTCAGTTTAATTACTCGCCTAAGAGAATACCACATGCAGAACCACTGCCAGCTATACTCCCTGATTCACAGTTTAAACACTTCTGAAGATCATCTCTCTGCTTGTGTGAGAGGAGAGGAGAGGAAAGCCCCGCGTTACAGACGGCAAAATTACACGAGGCAGGGAAGGTGACAAATCGAGGTTTACCAACCCTTGAATTACGCTGAGTGGTTTTTAACTTCAACTCCTTTTGGAACTCTGCCAAGGGTAGTATCAAGGGATGCTTTAGAGCAACATATTCTGTGTGCAAAAGTGCCAAGAGAGTATGTTAGAGAAATTAAATCATTCTGTTCCACTCTTCGGCGCTCATGGAAGCCTGAGCTGAGGCTGATAATTAGCTGATTTGCATGGACTCGGTGCAGAACAGGGTTTAAAAGAATTCCAGCAGCATAATCTTTAAGGGGCAAGCCAGCCTGGCCTGACTGGCTACCTTGCATGTCTTGTCATCCCTCTGTCTGAAGCAAGACAAGCCGTTTTTAGCTGCATAAGGATGGGCGGATAGATTTCTGAAAATAGCTGCATCTGCAGTTTTACAGTTAAATATGTAATTTCCTCACAAAGAGTCTCATCACTCTCCCATTTAAATGGGCTGCAAAAGCTGGATCAAGAGAAGCAATGAATCCGACCCTCATTCCAATTTCCCTGTAGGAAAATAGGTCTTCTTCTTGGTTTTATGCAGCAGGGGCAGGTTGGACAGAGCCTTGGGGGACATGGTCTAGTGCGAGGCATCCCTATCTATGGCATGGGGGCTGGAACTAGATGATCTTAAGGTCCTTTCCAACACAAACCCAAACTTTAGGTGCTATGGAGGAGCACAAAGGCTCTATGGAAGCTGTGACAACCCTTGGAAATACCAGAGACTTCTCTATTTAGGAATACTGACCCCAAGCCAAATAATTCAGGGATGATATATTCCAACAGCAAACAGTATCTCCCTCAGGCAGAACTGGAAGCAAGTGCTCACCAGTGTGTATGCAGAGCTGTGCCTGGGGCTCAGCACCTTAGGTCCCAGCTCGCTGTGCTGGCAACCAGGCCTCACACCACTTCATGTCGGGTAAAATGCGTTCCTCACTTCTCCATCACTCCTCAACACAGTGCAGCTCTCCCAGACGGTGTTCTAACTACAATGTCCTGGGCACTGGGGTTTTTTTAGGCACTGTACTGACCCATCTCAGAGCAGATCTGCCCCCAAAAGTTTTGCATTCAAAAGGATTTTAACACTCCTCCTCTCCACACTGCCGCCACCACCGCTTTGCTCCACTCTGCTAACTCAGCCACCAACTGGAAAACAAAGCGACCTTGCAGTCCAAGGGACCTCTTACAGCTTATGTGCTGCTCTGGTATTTTCTTTTAAAAGAAGCGGGAGGTTGAAGAAAAAGCATTTTTTCAGTCCATTTTCTTTGAGAATGAGCATTTCAGAGCCATTTCCTACACACTGGAAATTACTTCTACAAGTTTTCAGATGGTGAAGGTTATTTTGAAACACAGCAATTACTCTTCCTGTATATGGTGGTTTATTTTCTCAAGCTCCAATTCTCACATTTTATGCATCTCCTTCTGAAGTCTGCAATAGTAAAATCATGGTAAGCCAAGTATGAGACTTCAGCTATAACAAACCATTTTCTACATAAAGAAAGGGAACAGTTATAACTGCACATACCTCTATTTTTATACTGTTAATGATCTGCACACAACTCTTGAATCACTGCAGTATATCTGTCTATAAGCTGATCAATTCTGTATATGCAACATGCATTTGAGCAGTAATATTCTTTCTGATGATGCAGCTTCACATCCTGCTTATGAAACAACCAGCCTGAAAGCTGCTGTCAAAGTTACACAAATCTTACATCTAATCTACTACGCAAACATCTATTTTGGAATCTTGACAAGGAACTCATTTTTAATGCTTCCACAACATTTGCAAGATGAAGAAAAAAAAAAGAAAGCAGTTCTGTGTCAACAGGATCCTCCTCTTCATGGAAATTAAATGCCAAAAACAAATATGGAATTCCCTCATGTGGCCCTGCTGGCTTTTTCACTGTTTTCCCAATAGACTTCAGAAGAGAAGTCTATACATGGATTTTAAAGGAACAGAACCCTAACACTGCAGAAGAAAAAAAACAGTGCTATGTATTTCTATCAATTTTTAAAGCTGTAGATCTTCTGCATGAGGTACACTGATAGAGCTAGTCCAGCACCTGGAGTGAGATGAAGTTTACAGATATTACCCAGTAACATTAACTTGAGAATAGATGAAAAGAAAGACAAGCTTTAGACACAGAAGCCATATTTTTAGGACTGAAACAGAAATAGCAAAGTTGAAGCTAAATGCATGTTATACTTGAGCTTTTTTTACACTTGATCTTCTGCTGATCTTTCTGGCAACATTTACAGCCACTGCTCACAGTCCCTAGGATGAAGGTGGCAATTATTTAGAGCAACGATAACAGAGGCAGAGAATGTACTGGCTTAACTGGTTGGACTCTTCTGTGGTAAATCCCAATTCCAACTTGACGGAAATGAATTTGCACTCATTACCATCAAACACCGCTAGGTAAGGCAGCTCTCCTCTCCTGTGTCCACGGTCTTGTAGGTATAAGCCACTGGTGCCCTCTCTGCACCTTCCACACCTCCCACTGCTTCTTCTCTCCTCTGTTCAGACAGCCCCCAGCTCTTCACACATTCCCTGTTCTGCTGAATTGGTGAGTTCCTCTGCTGTTATTCAAGCCACTGACTCCTTTCAAACTCTCATACTCATTTCCTCTCCTCCTTCTCATCATCCTTTCTTCTACGTATGTTTCTCAACATACTTTCCTTTTCGTGCTTTCTTGCCGCCTTTCTCCAAATACAAGTTGTTTATGTCCTTCCAATTCTGACTCCACTATTTATTCCAATTTCTGCACCACCAACCACCTTTATCTTTGACTGTTAATGAGGCATTTAAAACTTATCAGGCGGGGAGGCTCCTCACACAGGCAACCCCTACCAAGACCGAGTCCAAACCCTGGTTCAAGTTCCAATTTGATTGCAGGTCCTGTGCCACCCCAGACTATGCTGCTTATGGTGCATTTCTACATCAGAATAGAGTTAACATTTTCTTACCTTAATATTACCACTATGAGGTAAAAGAAAGAGAGGGAGAGGCTGTAGCCTTAATAATCCTTGGAGAATTCAGGGGTAAAACTCTACAGAGAAAAGGAACAGTCTTTTGAAAGCCCTGTCAAACTTGGATGATTTTCTATGCATAACAGACATCTCTGACTCAATACCACTTTGACCATCTTATTGAGTACAAAATGTCCGAGCCAGAGACCGTAAATTCTGCATACTTTAGAGCACTTCAAGGCTCTTAATACATAACAAATTACAAAATGTAATTTATTTGTTTTTTTGCTAACTTCAGGACTGAGGATTTTCCCCCATGCAGCAGCAAAATACTCGTTTTTATAAACTGAACAATATGCAGATGCTACTACATCTAAACAGAAAGCAATCAATACTTAATATAGATGCTTCTTTCCTAAGAGTGTATAAAAAAAACTGTAACTTTGGAGCTTTTGGCACTCTTTGTGATGGAGGCAATATGAAAACTCTGGATTAAGTGAATGACTTGATCCTAAAAGTGGAAACTCCTACAGCAAAAAAACAGCATTACGGTGGCATAGCAAAGTTGATTAAAAACCCCCTCAGATCTCAATTGACAGGGCCTTGTTCTAAAATCATGGGATGGCTTGAAGAGCGTGGGAAAAATGTTTGTGTGTTGGCTGCACCTGCAAAGCTCTGCATGCAGACATTCATGCTGAGGGTAAACAAGGAGTCAGCCATGCAGCTATTTGCAACGCGTGCACTTACAAACAGCCACTTCCATGTATAGATGCTGGACTTGAAAGGCACAACATTCCTGCCTCTCAAGTGAAAAACTGAGATTATGAGCCCCATGCTGTGAGACGTCCAACACTGGAAGTCCTCGCTCTGAGTCCTATACAATTAGAGTCCCTCCTCATTCCTGCTAACCAAGGTCTGACACGTTTAAAGCAGATGGTCTGATGTTTCTTTTTAGTTCGTGCTTTATGCCTCTGCCATTCCACTACTTGTTTGTGAGGTTACTGTACAAAACGTTCTTGTTTCTTGGAGAAAAAGGGAAATCAACCTTGAAAAAACAACAAACACTGAAGGATTTGCTGAATGTGGCCCAGGCAGAGGGTTCTTCCTCTTCTTTTTCTGTCCAAAATCAGTTGTTCCCAGCAGGTTTGGTGCCTCTCACTAGTGAACAGTCTACCAGCAGAGTGTAGAGGTCAGTACCTACAAAAGGCTCTGTCATTGCTGGCATGATGGGCAAAGAGAAAAGGTAACAGGTAGGAGAAGATAAGGAGGTGGAAAGAGACATCTAACTGTTCTTTTCTACAGGAAAATACATTCAAAAAAACCCACCAATATTAAAATATATTATCCTCTGCTGCAAGCTCAGTGATTCCTGTCTCTGGTTTTATCAGGCCATTATTTCATATTTGGTTAAGTGAATTTTGTATTTGGTAAGTACACTCAGCATACCAAAACACTGCCAAATGTGGTACGCTAGTAACAGAGCAGAGTCAAAAAGCACTGTTTGAAGGGAGAAATTCAGATGGATGGGAGGATACCTGCATATAAAATGTCAATCAATTATGCAATCATCTGCATGACTCAGTAGCCTTGAAAAATTAACTCTCCTGAAGGAATGTGCTTAAGAACATACAGACTAATATTCTTTCCTCTACTCTGCACTTCCTCTCTCCATTTAACAAACACAAAGGTGCTTCAACACTGTTATGGATTACAGAACATTTCATTAAACCTTAATCTCTCACAGGAAATAACAAGACTGCAGCCTGTAGCTGTTGCACCCAGGTTCACTTTCCACACTGAGATAACTCCTGCTATCCTAGTATGAAGCTCACTAAGCCCAGACCTGCAAAAGGACTGCATGACTTCACAGGACATAATCCTCTAACAGATTTTCCTTTTTTTAAAGTGAAGTAATAGACAAAAGTTTCAGCCCTTCAGGTACCAGTCAGACACTTATAACTGCCTTACAGTAAAACAGTCACAGCCTACATCTGTATTAAAATACACAATCATAGAATGGATTGGGTTGGAAAGGACCTTAAGATCATCCAGTTCCTACCCCCTGCCATGGGTAGGGACACCTCACACGAGACCACGTCGCTCAATGCTCTGTCCAACCTGCCCTTGAACACTGCCAGGGATGGAGCATTTACCACTTCCTTGGGAAGCCTGTTGCAGTGCCTCACAACCCTCAAAGTCAAGAACTTCTTCCTATACGTATGGGGCCAGATTTTCAGAATGGTTCAATATTTAAGGCTTCAAAAGAATTTCACTCCTTTTTAGACTCAGGAGTGAAGTGCGTGTATTTTCAAGTGCTCAGCACCCCACGAGAACAAACAGTCCTGTTCGTACCACTTGTATAGCAGTTGGCCATTTCTCAGAGGACATTATCAAAAGCTGTTCCAGCTTTGTTCTTTTCAACAGCATTGCTGCCTAATGGCACCAAACATTTCCTGCAAAATAAAGATAGGCTTACTTAGCTTTTCAAAATAATCAATTTGAAAAACTGGGGCAGGGAACATGTGGAATGTATTAACTTGCCCTGGTTTTCAGGAGGAACTGTCAGTTGGTTTGTACATGAGTAGGCCATTCTCTCGCTGGGTAAGCTTTGCATTTCAGGAATTCAGAAAGTGGCCTGAGGGCAAGAATAATTCCTTTTCTGCTGAACTGGGAGATAAAAGGATGTGAGCTCAGAGGTGCTTTGCCATTTTGCTCTCTAAAAACTTAACTCCTTGAAATATGAGGACATTTTGATAATTTGAGCAAGTCACAGAAGCAAGTTTACATAGTCTGCTGCTTCCCTCTATGCAAAAGATACCTCTGTTACAATTAGACTTAAGAAACCAGAGCAAATTATGGTGACTGAAGCACAATAAATGCGCCAAAAAAGATTGTTCTCTGCTTAATAATCTTCTGAGACAAAATAACAAAGTAGAGACTTGCCATCATTTACCATCGTTACTGTTACTGACTGTTCTTCAGTATGTGTGCATGTAAGCGTGAGCATCTTTCTACAGGCAATGTTACAGAAGCATTGACTGGCTTACCAATAAAACTGAATTCAATTTAAGCATAAAGTCTTAAGACTTTCCCCCTCCATTTTTCTGATTTTGAAGAAGCTGGGTTTTGGGTGATTTTTTTTCTGCTCAAACCTGAAAAATTGCCCAAATTTAAATACTACAACTTAACTTTGTAGGATTCCCTCAAACAACGCACAGCAAAACCACAGTTGTGGGATGCTAAAAACAAACCCAGGTAATAAAAGAGATTCAGTACTGCTTGCAAGCCTGCTTTCCCATCCAGGAATCGCTAAAAAGCTACATACTTTCAGTGGGATTGAGGCACCTTCAGATCTCCTAATCCCTTCCCTTTGCAAAAAAAACCTATGCAAAAATGCTACGCCTTCACTACTGATTCCAACAGATTCAGTTCCTTGGTTGGTAACTATACACAGCGGAGTAGTATTTTAATCTTTATAAAACTACAAGTAAGGGTAACAGTTTTCAAAGTCTTAAGGGTCAAATGTTAGCTTTAAATTATGCCTCAGTTAAACAGTTGTGTTTTCTCGCTTTGCCACTTCTCCCCTCTCTCACACCTACTATATCCTTCATGGCAGCTCCTAAGTTTCGGAAATCTCAGCAGAGCTGTAACTTACTCTAACTGTGATGCTCATGCATTGCAAATATAGCCCTAGGAAACCTGGGCACCACGCTGAAGACAAGGCAATTCAGTACAGACAGAAAGTGCCAGAGTTTAATAAGGTAGCATGAGAATGCATAAAATACGCAAGTAAAGAGAGAAGCAATCAAAGCTAAAGCAGAAGTTATATGAGATGGTACTGAAATCACCACTTACAGCACTGAGGTAAACTGCAGGAGAATCACCACACAGCAAAAGCATTACTTCAGCTCATGTTCAGCACAAATCAAAAGCAAATTGCAATCCACTGAGAAAATGTGTTTCACTATTCCACGAGTTGACAAAAATGCAAAGACTTCACTTTGCCACTATAACATTACAGCCTTGTTTTCTAGCAAACTGCACTCAGATGTTGCTCTTCTGACATCATTAATCTCCATGGAAACCTTACAATAACTGTTGGCCTGAAATAGGTTCTGTCATCCCAGATCGACTCAAAAGTAGTCCAGCAAAAGATCTTATAACTCCTATTTTTTGACTGTACATTTTTACCCATGAGCACAGCTGAAGAGTTACAATCCCTGCGGTCGCTATGAAATAGAGCTTTCATATCTAACAATCAGAACTTACAAGAAGGTGAACTACTTTTCCAGTTGAGGCTAAGACAGAGATTCAAAGACTACCTACTTCTGGAGTAAGATGTAGAGCTGGAGAAAAAAAAACCCACCCCAAAAGATGTGTCTCTATATTGAATGTCAGAAGATGATTAAAGCAGGAGACCAGGCTCCTAAAATCTGCTCTATCTCTGCGCAGCATTATCGCCTTATAGGAAGGGAACAGGGCAAAGCAAGAGACCTTTCTAGAGGTATCTATTAACATTTACTTTTGGGGGTCACCAGGGAAATACCCACTTTAAGTGGAATGTAACCATATGGGTTGGGTTTTTTCTTATCCTTCTCCATATCAACACAGACACCCCCCATGACTGCTGTCCCCAGCACAGGGTCAAGGCAGTAACTCGGGGATGTTCCACCCAGCAAACAGGTCCTCTGCAAATGAGTTTAGTGCTGAGTTAAACTGACAGAGACATACAGACATACTAAACGTCAGGAAAGCTGTTTTCTTGGCAAGAAGCCATGTATACAGATTGTTCCTACAAGGAAAATACACTGACTGCATGTATACAAATGCATGTTATACATATATTTATATAAGAATTAGACTTCTTACAGACAGCAACTGAGGGAGTAATGTGTAAAAGGAAATGTGAGACTTGCATAGTTCCAAGTGTCATGCTGCACTAAAACTTGCTTTCTTGAATGTAATTCAGTCATTGTTATGCATTTCCAGAGATAATTACCATAAATTGCCATACAAATTTTAGACATGCAAGGTAAAAAGCAAAGACAGGGAAAGGAAAACAAGGGGGGTAAATTATAATAGTATATAGGCAATTGGTTTCATTTTGTTCATTTTCAGCAGTCCCAAAGGGAGTTACCTTAAGCTGCAAATACTTGGACATTGCCAGAAAAACACCCCAAACCAATGTTACTTCCTTAAGTCTGACCTTCCCAGCTTTAACTCTTACAAGTCATTCCTTGATCAGAGTTTCTTTGCTCTGGGCAGAAACCTTTTTGCAGTGTGTTCGTACACTTTCAAACCCAATTAAGTCCTGGGGCTCCCTGTATGACTGGGTTTTTTCAGATACTATCGTTAGCCAGCTCATTAACTTGAGTAACACTGCTCATTGCCAATAACAACATCCAAGGTACACTGTCAGGTCTGGAGTTTTTTGTTTGATGGCTTGTTTTACCTCAGCAGCATGTAGACATGCACTATGCAGAACTGGCTGACCAACACCTACAAACAAGATGACTTGCTGAGACCTTTAACGTCTATGTTGAATTTACAGGTTCATTTATTAATGAGTAAGCTATTAAGTGAAGCACTAGAGACTCACAGTGCCTGCATGGAGAAGTCCACATCAATTCAGAAGGTGGTGGAAACATGCCCCTGATTTGGAGCTTTGCATATTTTATAGGAAACCAATCCTGGAGACCACAGGCTTTTACTCCATCTATATCTTTGCACGGCAGGATATAGCCTTTGCTAGCACTAGCCTCCAGAGAAGCCTCAGTTTATCATCAACAAGCCCTCTGCATGCTTTGTGACAGGTACTTTGCATTAACTACTCTTCTATGGGGGAAAGGGAAAAGAGGACAGAATGTATACATCTGATGAGTGAGATGCTGGACTGGGATGTCCAGCCAGTAACTGAAGTGTTCAGAACCACACACAGCAATTTTGTGCCTTCTCCAACTGACAAGCAGAAATAACCAGGCAGCTACATGGTGGCATCCTTCTCACTGAAGTGCTGAAGAAAGAGGAGTAAATTCATCAAAAGCTAAAGACTGAACAATGTCAGTTTTACAAGTATGCATCTTTAGTGGGCACAGCAAGCTCTCACCTCTATCTCACGGTGGCGGAAGCAAATACTCTCCCCTGTCTTTGTGCTCAGTCCTGATTACAGAGATAGAGTCAAGGGGATGGCAACAAACAGAGCTTGTCTAATATGAGAAGAGAGTAAAGTGAATACTAGACAGCAGTGTCTTGTGCTCCCTCTGGGAGTTCCTTATAGTGTGGTGTATGCTACGCCTTACACTTGCTAACTGTATAATGTCACCTGTGCAGTTTTGATCTTTTCCTGGAAAAGAAGCAACACCACACTGAATTTTAACTCTTAAAGAAGTATTTATTTAATAACACAATGATCATACAAGGCCTGATCAAAGATGCTCCCATGGCGGCCATGAGGTGATGTTTAGGGGAGCCTACTTCATCAGACCAAGCACATAACTACACTTCTCAGCATATTCTTCTGCAGTTTGGTGCTCAGAAACTTTGAGCCACAAGCAGTATTTTTGTGGTAAATGGTTTTCTTGATGAGTTTTCCTTTCATGATTTGTATAATCAAGTTATTACATTCGTAAGAACAAGCTCTAAACAACATGAAACGAAGCTAGCAGATATCTGCTAGCTCTGACTAAAATTCCTCCCTGGGAACCCAGGTTTAGACATCCAAGGAGAGACAGCAGTGGGACTGCTGTCCACGCCTATCTCTGTACCTTTTCCTCCTTCATTCTTATGATGGCCTAAATCTATGGCACCACAGAGCAACATGAGAATACAAAACCTTTCAAGCAGAAGAATGACTCAGTAAATTAGATTAGAACTAGAGCAATAAATTGCTGCTTGTGGTTTCCCCCCCTCTAATCCTGCAAGTCTGGCCCATCTTCCTTTTCTCTGACTCCTACCTCAGAAGTTACGAAGCCTTAATAACCCTGCTGCTAGCATTAGGGAGAAATTGCTTGATTCTTTCTCCCAAAGAGGCTTTTATGAAGCATTCAGACTTCACCAGCTCAGCAAACAGAACGCAAAACACTGCCTGTAGCAGAGAACATCAAGGTATGAAATACTTGAAAAACAGAAAGAAAGGGCAAGTAATTTTTTTTGTAACAACTGATGTTAAGTTTCACAAAGCGGGTACTCAAGATTTGTAACAGAAGTGTCCTGGTTGCTTCTGTAACTCATCCTGACCACAATAAAATGTCTCATTCTGGACTTATAACCATTAACTGGAACAAACAGAAGCAGCGGGGAGAAAAAGAGAAGGAAAAAGTCCACAGAAGACACTTGAACTTCCAAGGATTTATGAAGGAGATTGTGGACCAGAAGAGGTAACATCTGACAGAAAGGTGACATACGTATCCTTGTGAGACAAGAACTCTCAGCAGCCTGACACTGCTCAGCAACTCACACTGATGAACACAGATGCTGTAAAATCACTGTGCCACTTTGCTATACAAGAAGCAACAACCCAGCATCAGCTGAAATGTTTTAAACTCTATCTTAAGAAATGGCTTACTGAATATAAACTCTCTTTCCCAGTATTTCCAGCAAGCTGCTGTGCTAAAGAGCTCTCATTCACTCCTCAACCTTGTGTAGTCACCTAAAACACACGAAATTTCTCTAATATCCATTATTTCAAGGACTTCGTGCAGGTTTTTACTTCCAGGATTGCCGTGAAAAACCTTTTTGACTCTAAGAAAGGTACAGACAGGCTTCCAAGCTACACATCGCATATTCAAAGACATCAAGGCCACCATAAGGCTTAATTACAGAATGCAAATGCAGTTGATTAAGACGAGCTTTCCTGAGTCACAGAATCTTGTCAGAGGTTTAGCACTGGACTCTGATGCAGGAGTTTGTCTTGATTTCAAATAAATACTCACTTGTACTTCTTAAAAAGCACTTTAATTTTAAACTAAGCCCAAATGTAAGCACATCACTTCGGGCATTCTGAAGCTTCAGTAACTGCAGGCACATTTTCACTTCGGATACACACACACACAGATATACATCCATATGCACCAACCAACCACTGCAGTGCAGTAACAAATACCGAGCTTTCTGAACTCCAGGCCAGCCTCGATTGTGTTCTACCACAGCCAAATACTTTGTTATCCACTTCATTTCTGAACAGCATGTATTCTCTTGGCCCCATATGAATGCCAAAAAAGCCTTGTGTTGCTGTTTGTCAGTTGCCATGCTATTGTCAACTATTTCACCCCTCGGGAATACAACATCCACCCACAATTTCTCCAGTTTGTATTAGTAAGCTCTGCCTGACCTTAGCTGCATTTCCAGGAATATGTTAACATTTTTCAACTGTTCTAGTCACTGTTTGTTACTATTAAAGCTTAAGTCAGATTCAGTCTAGGCATTAGCAGTGACACTTGAATCACATGCAATGGCAAAGCGGAAATCCAAAATAGAACACCACCCTGGTATATCCATGGAGAATACAGAGCTGGGAATATGAGATGGAAATGGCCTGGAGCTGAACCTATTTAATGGGTGAAAAAGGTAACTCCAGGTAATGCCTGTACCCTCTTCCCTCACTGCTGGGCATGTGCAGACTTTCCTGCACAGTACTGATGGCAGAGAAAGAGCTGGAAGCATTCTCCGCTGCCCATTATGAGATTCATATGGGTGATGCAGAGCCCTTGGTGACACTGCTTCAGCAAATGAGAGCATTTAGGCAGACTGGCTACTCTATGGTGACTTTTATGCAGTTTATTACTGAACCTCATCCTGATTTCTTCACAATTTAACAATTAAACAGACTTAATAAATCAACAGATATGCCTAAAGGAGCAAGACATTCAGGTGCACTACAAGGAATTTTCTGGAAAGATAGTTTGTTTCCTTTAGGCTCGCAATCTTGGATTTACTGGATGAAAAAAAACAACTTCTAAATGTAAGCCACTGATCCAATATTTCTTATTAGTCTGCAGGCTTTACACCTCAGCAGTTTCATCTGTAGCCAGTGTTGCATGACACTCATCCATGGCAACAGAGTTCAACAGTCAATCATGAAGATGTCTCCCATTTAGCAAAAACTAGATGGAACATTTGGCTGATCTGTCTGTTGGCTTGGATTTGTCTTGATGATTACTGAGGTTAGTATGTACCAAACGACAACTAGGCAACTGCAAAAGCTATGTTAGTTTTGTTAAGCTGTAATTTGGGAGTGCTTCTGGAATCCTAATAGCTGCCCAGGCACCCCTGCTGTACAGGAGCGTGTTTCTACCTGCTACGTCATGAAGTTCCTCTTCACAAGCTGGTTATCTACATGTCAAGACCCCTGACTACTCCCTCTTGAACTGAGCAGGCTCTCATTATGGATATAATGCTACTAATGGCGGTATCAGAATTTACCAGTCACCGGTTTTCCAGTGGCAACAACCCATTCCCCACGTGCCACAATCGTCCAACAAGCTGCCTCCTCAATTAATAAAGCTGTGTTCTTTGGGTCTTGGTTATCTTAAGCTATTGGATAAGGTTATAAAGACTTCAGTGACACCACAACACTCCCCGACATTCCATCCAACATCAGCAAGTTGTTCTTATCTCTTTAATACAACTGCTCTGTGATATTACTACTGTAATACATGCTACTCCA